TTTTTTTTTTTTTATTAAATCGGGATGTGTTATCACTCCAAAGACACTGAGTGAGACATAGTCTTGTCTGGGAGGTTTTCCTCCCTTTTCTCAAATAAAGACATCCCTGTCCCTGAAGCATTCTACTTTAGAAAAATAAATAAATGTCAGAGTGACACATTGAGAACAAATTGAAGAAGACAAGTCCTGGAAAACCAGTGCCTCAGCTTTGAGCAGGAAAGAGTCGCTGACGCCAACAGTGGGCGTACTCCTCCTCCACACAAGCTTAAGCACTCATCCCTGACAATCACCCTCAAACACTTTCTGAGAGGTATCTTTGCTGGACACCTGGATGGAGACCTTTCTGGAGTTGGGTAGAGGGGGTGGGGGGGACTTGTTGGGGCTCCTGCATGTGAGAAACAGAAAATTAATTTTTTTCCTAATCAAAGTTTTGATGTCACCTCCACCGCAGGCAGCTGGCGTGGTGACAGATGTATTGTGGGTTGGTGGGTGAATGAAATGCACAGAACACAGAATGTGGATGGAAGCAGATGCTTGAATGCTGTACACTATAGAACAGCTGCTTTAATATTAAGCTGCTTTGTAAATGATCAAAAACATGGTCTATTTATAAATAAATTATATCTGCTTTCATTTCACGGTTTAAAACATAGAAGGACAAAGTCAGTCACGAGTCACAAACCATGAAATCCTCAAAAATGTGTAAGAACACAAATATACAGTGGTACTCAAAATCTAATTCAGATGCTGACAGTAAAAACAACATTTTTGGATTAAAAAAGGGGGGGAAAGCTATTTCAAGCTTTTATAATAATAATACTATTTTATATAATTTCAAGTAAATATTCTACATATTTTCAGGAATGTAATATGAAGATTTTACAAAGCATGCATCATCATTTTCAAATACCTTTCACTCACACTATAATGTGAAAATGGCCTTTTCAAATTTATCCATTTGGGAGAGAATCTTCAAAAAGCTCTGTTTTCACAGGACAAAAATGGTGTCTCAGTGTTGACAAAAGGCCAAAACGCAGAGAAAAAGATGCATTGTCAAATGTTTTCAGATTAATGTAGACATAGCCATAGTCTCACTAGTCTGTTTTTTCAGTCCCTTCTCTGTAAATGGTGTGTATGTCAGTGAATGCACATGTGTCGTAATTCACATATGATGTGCATGTGTGTGTGAGGGTTTAAAGCAGCTCTCCCTTCAGCGACAAAATCATCACAACACATCCATGAAGCATGCACAGTCAATATGTCATCAGCAGACAGTGTGTAGGCCTGTTATGTTGTGCAGTGACCCTCTATGTAAACTGAAAGGGTTAGTTCACCCAAAAATGAAAATTCTGTCATTAATTACTCACCCTCATGTCATTCCAAACCAGTAAGACCTTCGTTCCTTTTTGGAACACAAATTAAGATATATGTTGTGGTTCTCTTGTGAATGGTGACAGACAGTGACAGGGAAGAGAAGAAATTGTTGAATAAAGTGTTTTTTGTTGTTGTTTTGTTGTTTTCTTTGTGCACAAAATGTATTCTCGTAGCTTCATAAAATCACGGTTGAACCACTGATGTCACACGGACTATTTTAATGATGTCCTTACTACCTTTCTGTGCCTTCAATGTGGTAGTTCTCTTGCTGCCTATGCAGAGACAGAAAGCTCTTGGATTTAATCAAAAATATCTTAAATTGTGTTCCGAAGATGAACGAAGGTCTTATGGGTTTGGAACGACATGAGGGTGAGTAATTAATGACAGAATTTTCATTTTTGGATGAACTATCCCTTGAAGCCTTCTATCTCCATCAGTATAAGATTCATAAACCATTCAAGATGAGGAGAAAGAGAAAAAAACAAAGGGAGAGAGAGATCCTCATCACAGATGCTTGCATAAACTGACAATGCTCAGTGTTACATAGCTAGCTTTCAAACAGATGGACACAAGCATGCTTGCTCAAGTAGTAAGTACAGAAGTATGGCTAGATTAGAAAATGGAACAGAACGATTTTTTTATAAGAATATTGGATGGATATTCATTCTGAGATTTGCTAAAGATCACATTTAAAGAAATAGTTCACCCAAAAATGAATCAGACCTCAGGCCATCCAAGATGTAGACGAGTTTGTTTCTTCATCAGAACAGATTTGATTTCCTCTGAATGTACAGTATATATATCATTATTATTCAGCAATAAAAAGTGATAGTAATGGAAACGTTTCACAGTTTCCAAAAACATATATAAAGCAGCACAACTGTTTACAACAATAATAATAAAGAAGAATATCAGAATGATTTCTGAAGGATCATTTGACACAGAAGACTGGCTGATGAGTAATGGCTGATGAAAAAATGCATTTTTGCATCAGAAATAAATTACATTTTAAAGTGTACTAAAATAGAAAACCAATATTTTAAATTGTAATAATATTTCACAATATTACTGATCCCAAACTTTTGAACGGCAGTGTATATGTATATATATATATAATTGTTAAAAACATTTTATGAATCATAGCACAAGACAGTTTTGACAGATGACTAGTTAGTTTGGGCAGATGCCGTGCTGTTGCACTGATTTCATTCAGCTTTATAATGAGTGATTTACAATGTTATACTATACATCCTGATGTAGCTTTGTAATACACTCTAGCGAGTAACTTTTGAACAAATATTTGATAACAGAGGAACAGTGGAAAGAGCATCCAACAAAAGATGAATAAGAGAGGAAAATAAGCAGTTTATTGTGCATATATATTCCCTGATTCAGTTTACTGTAACTCAGTTTAATTTTGTATTGCCCTCACTTTAATTCAGTTCCATTACAGTCAACTCCCCGTTTCTTTCCTCTCCCCTTCTTTCCCTCCCTCTCCTCCTCAATCTCCCTGCATGTCTCCATCACAGCGCAGAGTGTGATGTTTTCAGAGATATAGCAGCTCCCCGCACAGCCTGGGGCCATACAAACAGCCTGCCACAGCCTCACAGGGGTCTCGTGTCAAAGTATAGTAACCATGATGAGCACAGTTCCAGAGTATTCCCAGTGGGAGAAGGTGATTTGATGCCTTTCTCTCTCTCTTCCCATTGGAAAGGTGGAGCGTGTACAGTACACACCTCATGCCCATTCAAACTGAGAGGGCATGCGTCTCCTGAGAGTTTAAGTAAATTACATATCACAATTATTTTAGGTTAAAAAAGTATTTATAAGGTATGGTAGAAGCCATCCACTTACGTGTCTAAATTTGATCGGTCCAATCTTTTGCACCATTTACTTTAAACTAGAGATATATATATATATGTGTGTGTGTGTGTGTGTGTATGTATTGTAGTTACATACAGTAACTATTATCAGATACAATGTGATTATTTGTACTGTACGTTTTGGTGTCTGAGAGGTAATGTTACTATTGATAGTGTTAAAGCTAAAATATAAATATATTATACTAAAATATATATATTATAATTAAATATAGGTCCAATCTTTTGCACCATTTACTTTAAACTAGAGATATATATATATGTGTGTGTGTGTGTGTGTATGTATTGTAGTTACATACAGTAACTATTATCAGATACAATGTGATTATTTGTACTGTACGTTTTGGTGTCTGAGAGGTAATGTTACTATTGATGGTGTTAAAGCTAAAATATAAATATATTATACTAAAATATATATATTATAATTAAATATAATATAATGGATTAAATTATGCAGAATATGGACCAGGTTGCCTAGACTAACGCATCTCATAGACTTAAAAAAATACATATATATAATTTCAGTGTTGAAAAGAGTTTTCTTTAGTTATGTCCATCTGAATTGGAGCACCCAGTGATCCAGAATTGCCTCAGTAAAACTGTGCATGATGCCCCTGCCTCTGGTATAGTGTGTGCACAATGCCGTCCTTCCTGTCAAGGAGGAAAACATCACGCTAGCTACATATAAAGGTTATAAGGATGTGAATACACCCGTAAAAGAGGCATTGTGAAATAGAACAGCAGTTTTTACCGATCTTGAGGGAATTGAAATTCTCAACTAGGACGAGGTGCCCCACTGTCAACCCGACTGCACCATCTGTCGAATCTGTATTGCAAACATTCAACAGCCCATAAACTCAGGCTCAAATGTTTTCCCCAAAGGATCCAACGTTCCCAAAGGAGGCTTCTCATCAGTCTATTCATAGAGTAGAATTAACAGACTGTGTCCTCCTCTTTTGGGAGACGCACAGCCAGCTCTGGGTGCCTCGCTGTCTCTGATGCCGTGATTGGCACCTCCATGTGAGTCACGTTGAGCAGAGGCCTGCGTTAGTGATGAGGGGATTCCCTAACACAGCTTTCCTTACACGGGGCAGAACAGACAGGTCAGTCTTCTTGGATTGGCATATCACTTTCATTTACTGTTCATGCTGTTTCTTCAGCCAAAGATGTTGCAATTGTGTGCAGTTATAGGATTCCCAAAAGATATGTCAGGAGACCTCCCAGATGTTCAACTACCACAACTGTCATTTATGGTGGGGACTTCGCCAAAGCTGATTTTGTCGCCATCGTTTTAAGAAATAGCTTGCAGCAAGGGAATTATCTAACACTGTGCTTCTCCATCTGCAATTTCAGTTTATTAAAATGAAAGTTGTATTAGAGCCGGAAGCTGGTTCCCTTTCTTACTTGAATTGAAAAGCTTTACACTGGACAGACAACTATTATATAGTATTCCTGATCCATGAATTTATTCACTGACCTACAATATCCCAGATCAGCTGCAGATGTGGAAATAAAGTTACAGCATATTTTGAAAAAAACAAACAGCAAACTCTAATAAAATGACAAAAACACACAACAAAATTAACAAATCTGTAACTAAAATTAAAGTGAATATAGAAGGTATAAAAATCAAATCTAATTTAAAATATGAATACAAATTACAATAGTATATCAATAATATTAAAATAACACTGGTAATATGCCGAATCATTTTCTATGCTTAATTTCTGTTTTATTATTTTATTTCACAGCTAAATAATTATCACAGTACAACCTGAATAATAAAAATAATATATATAATTGTAATATATATTATACACGCACATACTGAAGTGTACAACACTTCTCATGGTCATCATAGAAGAGGTGTGTTCAAGTCATTGCATGTACAAATTGCATTTTAAAGCATTTTTGAATAAATTCATCAGTATATCGTCATGTCACTGACCCTGTTCTCAAATTAAATTATCTGTGTGCTAGATTTGGTCAACAAGAAGTAATGAAAAAACAATACTAGCAATGAGAAAATTCAGCTGTCTGTTGTTGGATATCTCTTTCTTTCTGTTCGTTGCTCTTGTTTCTGCTTTGCTCCTCTGCTGTACCGCTGTGTCTCAGTGGATCTGAGCGAGAGTGACCTCGCAATCGACTGCTAATACAACTGTCATCGCCTCACAGCACCCGCTAGAAACAAGCACAGGGAGGGGGAGAGTGAAATCAGTTAGGAATAAAACACGGGATGAGTGTTTGTATGCGTAAGCGTCTGCATGCTCGTTTGACAGGAAAGGAAAAAAGGAGAAAGAAAGAGAAGCTGGAGGAAGTGGACGAGGTGTCAAAGCAGCAAGTATTAAGGTTAAGGTCTCCTGACGGTAATGGGTGACTTTCAGTTGGAATTGTGTGAAAAGTGAAGTATAACTGAGATTTTCTGAAGATAATTACATAATTCTGTTATCATTTCACTCACATGCCTGCTGAAACCTGCACAGTGTTTTTTTTAGTTACAGTTTCATTTTCATTTTTACATTTTAGTCATTTTGCTATGAGCTTTTTCATCTTTATTAGTGTTCGTTTTTTGTGAAATTATTTCTATTTAGCGTTCATTTATTTTGATTTCACTTTAACTTTTTTTTATATAATTTTTCTTTTTTCATCCAGTATTTATATTTTATTTCAGCTTTAAATTAATGAAGTGATTTTTTAAAGTTTTAATTTATAATAACACTGAACCTGTCATTTTCTTTCTTCAATGGAACAAAAATAAAATATTTATGGTAGAAGCTGAATGTGAATAGTGACCATCAGCTGTCAATCAAATGAATAACTCCTCCTACAAATACATCATAAGGCTTCAAGAGACTAAGAATATGCTTTTATTTGATTTATTTATTTGTCCATTTTTGAAGCTTGACAGCCCCACCCATTTTAATTTTAAGGAAAAACGAAGCTCGGACATTCTGCTAAACATCTAATTTTCGATTCCACAGAAGAAAAATGTCATACAAATTTGGAACAACATAATAGTGAGTAAATGGTGATAGACCGGTCATATTTTTGGGTGAACTATACTTATAAGATATTACAATACATATAAGGATTTAGTACGGAACGAAACCTTGACACATTGGTGTGTGAGGACTTCCTCTGACAGCCTTGGTTGCTGCATCATGTCAACATCTGGGAACGTGTGAGATTACATTCAACAACAACAAAAAAGAGGGAAAGCTTCAAGTCTCCCCCACGCATGCACAGAGTAGAAAGAAACAGAGCTCAAAAGAGATGCACTAGAAAAAAAAACTGTGTGATCCAGTGAGATCTGGGCAAGAAAAGAAAGAGAGGAAGTGGACGCTTCTGGCAAATTAATACACATGTTAATACACATGAGTGGAGAGCAGTGAGTATAGTTGTAGGGCATTACATTTAAGCACTATCAGCTTGAATGGTCATTGCAATGCTCTCCATTAAAACTAGGTCAGTTTTAGCAGGGGGGCATTGCTTCTGAGGGGAACCGTCCAAATTTAATGCGCTATCCAAAAAGGGTTAGTCCTCCCTATTGCAAAGGGCAGGAGAGCATTTCAAACACGAGTCTCTTGATTCAGTATAGCTTTCAGTGAGAGGAGGCCACGCAGAAGTCAAAGCTCTTAAAGTTGCAATGTAACGGAAACAGCGATAGATCTTTTCTTCTGTATTGTGATGTACATCCAAGTGAAACAGATTATCGAAAAAAGAAAAATTGCAGGGCAGGAATTAGTTCTGTCCATCAGTTGTTGATTGGAGCCCGGCATACGCCACCATAAAGAAGTCTGTTGTTTCACTGGAAGATCCAGTTATGACATTTTTATTAAAAATTAAGTAGTCAAAACAATTAAAAAAAATTAGAAGCCAAGCTTTTAATGCTTTATCTACAATCATCATCACCTACAATCAATGTGCCCTGTATGTTCAAAAGACTAAATTATTCTGCAAATAGGCACAAAAACAAGTTAAATTTTACTTTTTTTTTTACACTTATGTAGCATCTTTTTTTTAGTCCACTCATAATTTTAGTCAAATATTTTCAACAGTATCTTAGACTTTGACCAAGTTAAATGGACACTGCAATGGTGGAATATGATGTCACACTCTGCAGTATCTATTTTAGAAACATAATTCAGCATATAATATACACAAAATGTAAAAATATGCAACCTACTCCACTTCACTGCAATGCTGCAATCCTGCAGATTTAAAGTTTGCGTTCTTTTAATTCAGTTAAGAGGTCACAACATGATGTATCATTCTATGAATCACATGTGATTTGTGAAATGAATTCAACTTGAACTTGAACACAGCAAACCTGAGTTTCTGGTCTCCTGCATTCACATACGCACGAATGGAATAATATATTACTGTCAATGTGTGTTGTAGGGGTGACCCCGAAAAGTCGAAGATTCGATGCTTCGATAGGAGGAGCCCGATTCGACTACCAATCTCACAGTTGAATATTCGCAGAGGTGTTATGATCATGCCATTTTGGCTATATGGGGGTGCTCAAATATTTGATTTCACATAGAACTACCGGTTTTCTCCCAATAAGTTAATATACAGCCTATTATGATAATGCTGTAAATAAGAATCTGAAAAGAAAGAAGCTTTAAATACATATTTTAACGTGCATGAATAAATCCAACCAGATTTAAGTTAAGTTTCACTTTCCATAATCTGTGACCGTCAGAGGAGCATCTTGGCAAAAGGGATTTAAAAATTTAACAAGACTCAAAATGACACAGGCAGAGTGAAAGACTGGATTTTTTTCGATCAGGTGGGGTTACAAGTGATTTGAAAACATGTCAGCCGGTTTATATAGCCTATATCGTGTATATATTATTTATCTCGTATAAGATGCATTTGGTTGCGCTGCAGTGAAACGCTTCATTGTAGTAGCTACTACACTCTAAAAAATGCTGGGTTAAATACAACCCAGTGCTGGGTAAAATAGTTGGGTTTGTCCCTATTTTACCCAGCACTGGGTTGTATTTAACCCAGCATTTTTTAGAGTGTACGGTGATGATCTCTTCAGCGCGCAGCAAGAGCAGGACAAACAACAATGCATAATTTGACTATGACTGGGACTGTCATATACATAACATTATAATGAGAACACTATTATAATAAAACGCTGTGAATTTTTAGAGTTTAGTTGCCGTGTTTCTGCACATTGTTGCGTGAAGAACGCGTCCACAAAAGGAGTTCATTCAGAGCCGTGCAGACACGTTCATGTGCATTCGGGGCATTTTGTGCAGATAGCCTATAAGTCGTAATATTAACGTAATGTTGTATAAATAACGAAGTATATTCTATATGAGATAAAGGAGTTAAATCCCATTGATTAAAAACCTGCTATCAAATGCTTCATTCTACTGGTCATCATCAGCGCGTGCAGCTCAAAACAGAAATGCAGAACATAACGTTATAATGAGAGCACTATTGTAAAAAGTGTTGTGAATTCTTAGGGTTTTGCTGACGTTTAATGTTAACTACCTTTTAACCAAAACATTATTTTTGTATCTGCGATGCGTCCGATTTTCCCTGTGCGTCAGTATTTATGACTGCTGAATGTCTGACTTGACTCTTGGTATGTATTTTGCCCCCCGCCCCCAAACACATGATTCGACTATTAGTCGACTATCGGTAAGATTCGAAAATACAGATTCGACTATGCAAATCCTTAGTCGGGGACACTCCTAGTGTGTTGTGCTGTGAGAATAGAAATACAGTGATCACTATTTTCTGTGCATTACTGGTGGAGATTTTTCAGTGACTCTTCTGCAAATTCCATTTGAAGGTGATGGCAAGTGATTGAATCATTGAATTGTTCATTAAAAATTTGTTTAACACAATGACTCATTTAGGATTGAAACACCACTACTGCAACAGGTACTTCATCTATTTTCATTGGTGGAGCAAGTAAAGACAAAGCAACTGTCAAATTTGAGCCAAAAATTATTCAACATTAACTGCTTAATTTTTTACTTTTGGATAAAAGCAATATCACTTTACAATAACACTGCCTCAACAAGCTGTGCCTGTAGCAATTTTGCTCATGTGATATTGCTGGATATCACTAAATGTTATTTAATTAATGATATAAAATGTTTTTTTTTAAATGCAATGGAATGGGTTTCCATGGACATGCAGATGCATGCAAGCCTCACATCACCAAGTACAATGCCAAATGTTGTATGGAGTGGTGTAAAACTCGCTGCCACTGGACTCTGGAGCAGTGGAAACCTGTTCTGTGGAGTGACAAATCACGCTTCTCTGTTTGGCAGTCTGATGGGCAAGCATGGGTTTGGCGGATGCCAGGAGAACGTTACCTGCCTGACTGTATTGTGCCAACTGTAAAGTTTGGTGGAGGAGGGATAATGGTACGGGTCTTGTCATTAAACTACTGTAATAAACACTTATTCTACAGTGATTTGAAAAACATGAAAAAGCATGTCAGAGATTCTGTATGAGATTTAATTTTACATGATACATGCAACCACAACCAGTCCAGCCCTGAGGTCTAAGGTGACTGATCTAGATCAAAACATCTCCACACTCTCCATAGCAGGTATCAAACTCATAGACATAGAAAGAAAACTCTTACAAATCCTCCAATAACACTACAGCAATACAGCTGCTCGTTTTATCCTGACAGCCTGTAGCAAACTCCATATCATCTGAATTATAATCAGAGATTCTTTCTTCATGACTGTATAAATAGCACACTCTCATCATGGCTAAATAAATCAGCACTTAACACACTACATCCGGTGCATTTTACAAACAGTCACTCGTCTCAGTCAGGTCACAAAGAAAATTAGGTATTTTCTTTTTGTTCTTTGCATAATGAAGAAATACCAGCAGTCACAGATGTGAGTCTCTGAATAATAGGATTGCTATTAAAGGGGTCATATGATGTTGCTAAAAAGAACATTATTTTGTGTATTTGGTGTAATGAAATGTGTTTATGCGGTTTAAGGTAAAAAAAAACACATTATTTTCCACATACTGTACATTATTGTTTCTCCTCTATGCCCCGCCTTTCTGAAACGTGTAGATTTTTACAAAGCTCATCGGTCTGAAAAGCAAGGTGTGCTGTGATTGGCCAGCTATCCAGTGCGTTATGATTGGCCGAATACCTCAAGCGTGAGACGGAAATG